TCAACCAAAATACAAGACTACCACTTAAACAAGTCAATCTATACGCAAAATATTTGTCTTGACTGCTTTATTAGATTACTTTGTTTGTGTGCTTTAAGTAATGTACTATGAAACTGGATCTCCTATTCAAAAGAAAATAAAACTTTTTGGGTGAGCAGAGAGTTACAGTTTATGATGCTATAAATAATTCCCAGGTTTCTTACTTGACATAAGGCTCCAGAAGAAAACTGAGGGTGATGAGTGTAATACAGACAAAGATAATCATCACGGGGTAGTCGGAGCTGGTCAGGTACCTGTAGCAGCTCTCCAGGGGGTTACTCCACTTGGTTTTCCTTGGTGCTGACGTGGCATTAGACTTTGTGACCGTCTCTGTAATCACTGTTTTGGACCTGCCTTCATCATCCGAAAACTCCTCCACTTTTCTCTGTAGTTAAATAATTTAGGTGTATTATACCGGTACTGTATTTATCTCATTTAATATCTACTGGGGTTTGCTTCTGAGTTCTCTTAAAATAAACTTTTTGATATTATATAACTCAGTTGTCTCTAAGACCTGGGGGATTTCCCCACCTATAAACAATGTAATCAGCTGGCTCTGTTAGAGGAGCAGGATTTGACACTAAGGCATGTCCGACTGACCCAGTCAAGTATATGTGTGGTCCGGTCATGTGAAATGTACTTGAACTAGACCAGTCATGTGGATTTCAATAAAAAGTTTAATCCTCATTTCAGTCTTTCAGATAATTATTCTAAAAACTTTTAAAGCATTGTTCTTATTTGTTCAGTTGTAAACACAGTCATTGCTTATTAAACAAAAATTTCCACATATGGCACAATTGCTATTTTTAGCCACAGGATGTAATACTCATAGACAAGTCACTGTCAAACTTCATCGAATAATGTTTTCTTTAAATTTTTAATTTGGATATTGTGACAAGTGCATGAGACTAGATCTTTACAAAACTTACAGTGGTGGTCTCGACTGTAGTTTGCTGGCGCCCCCTGGAGCGAGATCGGCTGGACCGACGGAGTGGGGTCTCCTGTTTGACGGGGGTGGCTTTCTTGCGACCGGGAGACTTCCTGCTCTTTGAAGCTGACCTTCCACGAGACCTTGACCTAGATCTTGATGTTGACTTCCTTCTTCCTCTTTTTTTGGGAGACTGGTAAGTGGTAACAGTGTAAAATTTAATAATAAAAAATATTTGTACATAATGATAAAATTACAATCAATTCTTTTAATTGCCTGAAAAATTGAAAAAAAAAACCTACCTCATTTTCAGACTCCTTAAAAGCTTTGATTTTATCGGCACAGTCTTTTAAGTTTTTGACTGGTTCCCAGGAGTCTTGCTCTGCTCCATAGCCTTGCCATCTGATCAAATATTCAATGATACCCTTCCTTTTTCTTTGCTGAAGGATTTTGTCAACCTGTTAGAGAAGAATAATATATTTATAGACAATCAATGCAAAATTGCAGTTAGGGTTGTATTAAATAGAACGTTCTATCGTTAAAATGATATTGTCCAACGGACCCGATAAAACGATAGAATAGACCGTTTCACGGTAACTCACTAACTGCGGTACTGCTCTCTTGCAGGGCAAAATGAAATACTTTGGTGAAATATGACGTAAAAGTAATTGTTAAATATACCTCATTTAATTATCTCTCAACAAAAACTTCACCAAAGGTTGTTATTTTGCCATTGCAAAAGAGTAGTACCGCAGTTACTGTAAAGGGGCTAATTTGTTCCGTGTACTCGTAATGTAGCAAAATAAACAAGGACAATAAATCGTACTAGTTGCACTTACTATGAACAATTCAGAGAGTTCTGAATGTAAACATGGCAGGTTAATTTGAAGTGAGAAAAACAGTTGAGATAGTTAGTTGAATTTTCGTCTTCATGTGGATTGTTCTTTTGTATAAAATGCATAATATACAATCTCAAAAAGGTTTGTTTTGATTGATTTTGGTGGTTATTTCAGCTCAACCCCTTTTGTATTCTTCTAAATTATTTCGGAATGGATTGCTCTGATTTGCTATATTGCAAGTATATGGGACGTATTGTAGCTGTGGAAAGGCTTAATTGTCCCGAGACAGTCACACAGGTAGATTATTCTGACCTTGGTTGTCTATTATTCAAGGATGTAATTTCTGTTGACGTAATATAAACAATGCCTACGGTAGCACCAATACACTTAAAATAGGTCGTAAGAGAAAGCATTTTACCTTTCTTTTTTCAAGCATATGGTTATAGTGGATTTATACTAATGGAGGTGAAAGTTTGTTTCAGATTAATTTTTTATCGCTTTGAATAGTTAATTATAGTTTGATCATCCTCACCAGTCGTAAAATCTGACAAAAGCAATCATAATAAAACTTTTCAATTTCTTAAAATGCTTGGTGCAGCAGGTAAAAAAATCTTGCGAAATACTCAATGAAAATAAAAGGGGCACGACTCTAGGACCATAACAATTTTGGGCCGCGAACATAGTCATACGTCATGTGACGTCAGTCTAGATTTGGTCGTGCTGTTTGAAATGGAGAATATAAGTTGTTAAGTGGGAGCAATGTTACGTTATTATTATACCAGTTAATAAATCTCACTGCATTCGCCACAAAGGTGGCACCGTGAAACATATAAAATGTTCAGCTATTAAACAGAAAGACAAAAACAATTTGAAAACAAACGAGCAATACCGACGCGATCGGATTCATGCAAAAACAAACGTAAGAATGAGAATAAAATAGATGCTGGTATTTTAATTCTTTTGTGTGAGTTTCAATTACCTTAAATATATGAAAATTAAATAAAGTTTTGAAGGAAGAAATGCAGTATATTACCTCATATTCAGTTCCAGATTCGCTATCGGAAGCCATTTTTGAATTCTATATCCCAGAATGCACATGTCGCAATAGCATAGGCCTATTTATCATAATGAAAACCTGTTATGATTTGCTTTATTGCAAATCATTTAAAGAAGCAATAATTTATTAATAAAATATGAAAATTAATTAGATTTATTGAATTCGAGTACTTTATATTTATGTCGTAAAATCAATGCAATCTAAAATTTTATGAATAAAACTAATCGCATAATTCCGGAAAATGCTCATGGGCCATGATAGTCACCTGGAATATGAGTTTCTACTTTCTTGTTTATCTGTCACATTGTTTCTATTTTCTGACTCTAAATGAAAGAATTTCATCTTGTTTTTACATGAATAGCCCCATTTCACCCTAACAACCTAATCATTCTATGATCTGCATTGACATTCAGAAAACTCTGAAATTGTAGCTTCAATTAACATGGGTAAAACTGCTATTAGCCACTTAATTAAGTCGCTTGCCTTCACTCATTAAATTCGTTAAAAAAATGATAAATTAAAAATATATGTATTTATTAAAAAAAAGGTATTAAATATTAATTTTGGCACTGAATTCGGTACGGAATTCCTGCAACATTTAATCGTCTGTTTTACTGTAGGACTCCTTATCAACTAACTGTTAAAACTTCTACATGGAAACGATTAATTAAATAAATATAAAATTCTCTGAGCAACAGCTTGTTTAGTATCATTGTATTTGTTTTAATATTGTTTGATTATTTTTACATACGCAAAAAAACATTATGAAAACTTAGCAAATTTCATGCATTATGATTCTGAAATCAAGTCATGGTGAATCTTGCCACATACAAACATGTTTATTCTGCAGAAGTAAGGCGCTAGATGTAATTCCGGACAAGGACATGTGGATACATGTATTAGCCCATACATTTTCCATGTCATATTAAATAATAATTATATATATTTCTGGTTTTCATTCCTCTGAGTAAATTATAAATCATTTGCCCCCAAGCTTATTAAATAAAACGGGGAGGAATGCATTGAACTTGCTTATGTAAATATGTCCACTATGACCTTTCACCCTGACCTCATAGCCATCCATCCGTGCCGGCACACTTCTCACACCAGTCGAGTCTTACCAGTCAATCTATTCACCTGTTGTTCTTATGTTGTATGTTACCCGTGTGGTAGAGTAAGATACATGGCATCCTGCTAGCTTGGTCTAGTGGGTTAACCCTTTAGCTCAATTGGTAGAGCACTGGACTGGCAAGCCAGAGGCCCCGGGTTCGATCCCCAGCAATAAATTGTCTCTGTTACACCTGTGTTTACCCACCATGTAAACCTGGGTTTACCTACGTCGTCACCTTATATTAAGGTAGGCGACATTTCCATAGTATTATCATTTTACAAACAGCGTGACAGTTTGCTTGATAGGGCGTGCTAAAAATTTTGTGTGCTGGTTATCATTTTACTCATCGATTGGATCAATGAAATCAATACTAATTTGCATATGAAACTCGGAATACAACAATACCCCGATTATACTGGCCAATCACATTGAACGATTGTTTCTCAGTACGGCATTTGTAGTCAGCAGCAACACGTGGTCAGTCATAGCCCGTTTTCTGTCCTAAAAAAACATACATGTATTATATTTGTTGTGATTTGACCGGATGGGATTTTAAATACGTATAAGAAAATCTAAAGAATGGAATTAGTAAGGCTACAATGTAGTCTGCTTCTGTTGTACTATGTACGTAGCTCTATCAGTTTCATCATTATGGGAAGTAAAACTTGCTTTGTCTGTTCACATGTTGATGTTTATTCAATGCGATTGGTCAGTATTGTCAGTGGTTTTGCTGGTTTCTGTGTTTCATATGCAAAGTATTATTGATTCCATTGAAATCAAAGGTCCAATCGATAAGTAAAATGACAAGTTGCTGTCCTTTAAAAAAGGACTGCAATACGTGGACCATATGCATGTTGTTTTTTTTACCCAAATTCAATTACGAAATTTTCTAGGTGTAGTGAATATTCATGTAGGTAAAACCTGGTTTGTTCTCATTTTCCACAATGATCTGCCTACTTATCTCCGATTAGCGACCTTTAGTTTTGTCAGTTTCAAAAATTGGGCTATTTTGATACATGTAACCCATAATGACTGGGACTTGACACCTGTTCTGGATTTATGTGGAAGAAATCTATCAGGGGAAAAATAGAGATCCGATGGTTCACGTGTATCACAGCTCTGTAACACGGAGACTTTTTCGGACCCCCCCCCCCCCCCTCCTCATATACACGCATTAAAAGCAGTTGCTATATATAGACCTCCATCAAAAGGATTGGATTGCTGAAATAAAAAAAATATTTTGCGAGCCTTGATGCACAAAACTAATGCCAGTGAAAACTTGTTCTATCTTTTAAAAACTAGAACTAGTCGTTGAATGACGTTTTTCATTCAAGTTGTTAAGGTAAACGTATCTATATATTGCAAATTCTTCCTACCTTTTAAAATGCTACAGGGAAATTCGGATCCGCCAATGAAAGTGTTAATGCGATATGCCGATTAAAAAGTGCAATTTCCCAATGAATGGCATATTCTAATTTGAATAGGGCGAATTATTCTACGGGCAAGTTACCTAAGTAGCCTGGCCCCCTGTCTCATCCTTGCCAAGTGACGGAGAGTATACGAAGCAAAACAGGGACAGGGAACCAGCTAGTTACCTAAGGTGCGAACTCTCCAGCATTCTCGCGCATGCGTAGCCTGTCGTTTGCCCATGGCATCCGGTTTAACCTCGCTTATATATTTACTGCGTGGACCTCAGGGTCCACGCAATAATCAGCATACGAAATTTTAGCACGCCCTAATCAAACAAACTGTCATGCTGTTAGTAAAACGATAATAAAATGATATAATCCCCCCACACAAGAATCCCTTGTGTAGCGATCTCATCATGCTAATGTGAGCGGATCATAGGATCTGATTTTAATCTGTCAATCAGATTGATTTCTATTCAAACTGTCAAAGTCCTAACTTTTACCCCAGAATTTTTTTTGGCACTTTCTAAAGCAAGAAGTCGCCCGCGTGGCGCAGTGGACAGAGCTTCTACTCTAGAGTCGCGAAGTAAGGAGCCAATCTTAAGTGACATCGCGGGTTCGAATCCCTCTGTGGGACGTGGAGACCGGTCCTTCGGATGAGACCGTATTTAAACCGAGCTCCCGTCGCGGTGTTGCAGTAGGTGTTGGCATGAAAAAGATCCCTCACTTCTCAATGGCCCTAAGTGCCGAGTAAAGGATAAAATTTGTAGCTCTCCACCGACAAGTGGTCATGGTGGTGGCGTCTCCATATCAGCATGGGGGTGAAAAATTCCCGAGAGGAACGTTAAACAACATACAATCAATCTAAAACAAGAATTTTGCATTTGTTAGAAAAAAAATCGTGAAAATTGAGCTTACAGTTAAGATTTTAAATAAATATATCGGTTTTTCAATAAAAAAAATGAACAAACGAAATTATGGCTCATCAAATTGCAACGAAAATAGAAACCGATCGGTGGTCATCATATTACTCAGACTGGGACATTTTCCATTTCCATCCGGAAGGTAAAATTTAGATTGATAGCTACCAAAAACGGGCCCTTTAACATCCGTTAACCTTGCCAAGACGGTTTTTGTAACAGTTTGGCGACAATGTCGATGTTTCCAAACACTGTTCGAGCTCCTTTAGCTTCAGCCGTCTCAAGACTTTCGCACACGGTAACCAAAAGTAATACAGGGCCATTAGTTAAGTTCCAAACGGCAAATATTCCAGTGATAGGGAAGACTTCTCCTGAATTACAGTCGTTCAATGCAAGGGTTGCCGCTGTCAGTTGTCTGTGTATGTATTTAGTTTTGTTTATGATATAACTTTAATATGTTTTACCGTGCGGCCTGCCTAATTGAAGACCTACAGGTAATTGAAGACCTACAGAAGACCTACGGAAGACCTACAAAAATGGGGGATATATACAGCAAAACTGATATGATATTCTGGTTTAGCATGTCCTAAATATGTAAAATACACAAAAAAGTTTCATAAAAAGAAGTTTTAAAGTGTATTTTTTAAGCTCGGTAAGGGGAACTATTTCTTCTCTTAGACGACCTACGGAAAGAACGGTAACTCTGGCTGACTTGTCTTGTAAACAACAACACGCTCATTTATATTGTGAAGTTTATAGGAAGAATTATATATGTATATCACATAATAAAAAAAATGAAAATGATTTTGTTGAGTTTTTCAATTATGAATTATGATAAAGAAATCAGCTGGATGATGAATTTTGATGAAGTTAAAAATATAAATAATTATCATGATTATTTGATTTATCAAATTAATATTCTACTTGAAATCTATAGTTAATATTTAATAAATATTGTAATTCTTTTAATATGTTTTATGGGATAAATATTAAATATTCAAGTTCAAATTATTGATATGTATGCTGTGGATTTGTCTCAATTAACCAATATTACTCTGTACTAAGGGCTTCGATCTTCACTAATTTGTTGTATACACAGACACCCTGAGGATATATCCGTGTTTTGATTGCAATTATCAACACACCCCACTTGCTCTGATGAATGTTAATTTGCAGTCAACAGAGCAAAGATATAAAAAAAAATATTTATTTTATATCTTAAAAATGCTAGCAAGAATAAACAAATAAAATTATTGTGCATTTATTCAGAATATAACTTACTAAAATGAATTACGTTTTGAATTTTTTTTTTAATATTCAAAATGGTCATCTTTTTTTCAATATAACACATTTATATGACATTCACGAGGAATATTTAATAACTTAATTAAATGTATATTTCCAGATAACATGCTGTATGCCAAGAAATAGGCACTATAATATGACACATAAGCTTTTATTTCTTTTACATTTTGAGCCAAAATATACATTTACATTATATCAATCTTGAAGATACCAGGTGTACCATTCAATAATTAAATTAAAAGAAAATACACACCTTTTGAAATTGAATAAAATAATAAACACGCATGTTATCACACATAAGAAATGCATGCATATTTTTAAAAAAAATTATGATGCTCTGACTCGGGGGAAATAAGATTTTGAAAGTGATTATGTCTGTGTTCTTCTTGAAAAATTACTTCAAATTCTTTTAACTGCAATTTTAAAATTTTCATTCTCTACATAAATGCAAATCTTATAAAAATTTCCAGATGTTATAAATGACATTACTAGGTATTATTAATAACAAGAACACAAATCATTTATGAATTTTTATTAATGATCAACAATTCAAACCCGAACTAAATATTATACTGATCTATTTATAAACACATATAAAATACTAAATATAACGTATATACAAGTGTATGTATTTATAATGATTTTATGACTGACATAATATATAATGGTATTATAAATTATGTACAGTGTTTACAATTTTACTGATTTTAATAACTAATTTTTTTTTTTTAACAATTATAAAATAGATTGTTTCTGACAGAATATTGCATTTTATTATTTTTTTTTTTTATCTTTGATGTATGTATATATAAAGTATCTCCAATGATTTTTTTCCGTCCTTTAACATTATTTTTTATTTACATTTTTCTGATAATTACATTTTCTTGATATGTTTTGGTGAACAGCTGATTTGTTATTTACGCGAGTTACCGTTCTTGCTGTAGGTCTTCTGAGAGAAGAAATAGTTCCCCTTACCGAGCTTAAAAAATACACTTTAAAACTTCTTTTTATAAAACTTTTTTGTGTATTTTACATATTTAGGACATGTTTAACCAGAATATCATATCAGTTTTGCTGTATATATCCCCTATTTTTGTAGGTCTTCCGTAGGTCTTCTGTAGGTCTTCAATTACCTGTAGGTCTTCAATTAGGCATTCCCGTTACCGTGTGACCGTTGGGGCGAGCGCAGTTATGTACTATTGTAGCGAGTTAGCACTCTAAAATCTGACACCGTAAATATAAGTAACTGGATGGCTCTCAATAAATGATACTTTTGACCCAATTAAACCAATTGAAATGATCTCCGTAAATAATTAAAATAAGATTCAAATATCTTGAGATGATGGTTTATTTTGACTTAATCTCTTAACAATCAAACACTTACAAGATTCAATCAAGAAAATACAATAAAAAAATATAAAGTGGCTGCAGACGTCCTAACCCTAAATTTACCCCAAAATATTGAGCTTCCCTAAGACATAATTAATTTCTGAAGCGACTCTAATAAATAAATGCTAAAATACTACTTCTCCAATTTACTGAATTAAAAAAATTAAGAAATTTTCCCCAAAGTTATTAAAATTTCACCTACGTCCTATCTTAAACCCAACAAAATCCGGAGTCCCCGTTATACAACGGTATCTCACTTATATACCCACGGGGAACGGTCCCGTTCCAAAACATAACGGAATCCGTTGGAAAGCAACGGAATTCCAAAGAAAAATACAAAGGAAAATAGTTCCCGTCTATTAAAAATTACTTTAAACAAGAATAAAATATGAATAAACAATAACTCTAATTCATTAATGTATTATAAAACATAATTAATTACCTTAAAGCTCATTTTTCTAAGTAATGGCAAAAAACTGTCAGCGCATAAATATCAGATGCGCGGATCAAGAAGTAAACGAAAATTCACCCATAATGCATTGCGCCGCCATGTAAATAGAAAAATAGACTGTCTGCAGTTTACAACATGTGCTTGCATAATACAGGTAAAATACTAGTGAAAAACGTAATTTAATCAAAACATTTAGTAGATCATACTCTTTTTACAACATTTATGCAATTATTTCAACAAGGACATTATTAAATACGAAAGGATATGCATGTACCATTACATATACTCGTTCTACTTTCACTTTGACTACGAAGACATAAAAAGTTGTGAATCCAATTTTAGAACATCACGCTATAAATGTACAATACACACGGTTAAAATACTCAAAATGTGAATCATTCATAGGATTTAATTAATATGCCAAGATTTGTATTCTAAATACAAATAAAATATGGAAACTTGAAATGACCAAACATTACACTATCATAAACCTACACATGTACTGCCTATCATTCAAGAAAAAGGAAAAAAACAAAACAATAAAAAGAAATCACTTCCCAAGCATCGGGATCGAGATTCCGAACTTCTCGGATGTTTCCGACAAAATCGGAAATACCCGAACCGTTAAAGTGACGAAAGTATGACGTCAGATAAAAAGTCTGTTGACTTAGGACGCAAACGATAGTTTTGTGGCATGGAGATTGCATTAAATCATTGTTTGTAATTTTTTTCAAGTAAGTTGTTGCTATGTTTTACCCACCATTTTGCTATGCACTGCAAAGGATTATTGGGAGTTTGGAATTTTTTCACGTGGACTCATAAAAATTTCTTGGAACAATGTGCAGATTTCAACCTGAATTTCCTCTGTTCGTACACGTTAGTCTATTGAGCTCACTATGCGAGCGGCGCTTTGCGCCGCCTCGCTGCGCTCGCTAATATGTTTAACGGTGGGACAGTAAAGTCGAGCGCAATTTTGCCAGCATTAAACAGGCTTTGACTTTGACATTCATAACATTTACAAGCAGGTCCAGTACAAGGTTGAATTACCTTCGTAGCTTTATTTACCTACCTCAGGTAGCTTTATTTACCTATTTCAAGGTAAGTTTTCAAAAGTTTTCTTTTTATTAAAAAGAGACAAAAAGTCGCAATTAAATGACTATTGATATTTATACTAGGGAGGCTAAAAAAACAATCCAAAGCAGAGATAGTTTATACATTGCTGCGTTTGGACAATTTAGAGGAAAACATGTAATTCCATTGTGTGGTTAACTGTCCTCTCTATTGGACGCAGTGAGGCATGACTGAGTATGATTACTTAACATTGTGCTGAACAATTACCGACCTATTATCATGTTAACCAGAACTGGACTTCTTTGTCATTTCATTCAAGGAGTAACTGTTCTAACTGTCATACATAGCCCCAAAACTTTCAGAACTTTGATTGCAATTGCGCAGAAAAAGACATTTTTCCAAGAGGGATTTTTTCATGAGTTGTTTTCAGATGAGTTCAAAGTTGATCAGAAAATGATCACTGCATCAAAATGATATTTTCTGCACACCCTGAGAAAAATGATTTTTAAAAGAAATACATGTAAATCAATTTGGTAGCTAAATAAAGCTACCTTAGGTAGGTAAATAAAGCTATGTAGGTAAATCAAGCTACGTAGCTAAATCCAGTGATTGTACCAGACCTGATAAGTATACTCGATTCCCATTATATCGCGGGTTTCATTGTATCGCGGTATATTGCAAAAATGTGGATACATTACATAGCCTATATTCATTTTGTTGATAGACAATATGAATGTTGTCTGAATGTTTAATTTTTTGATGATTAAAGATATGTATGCCGTGTTAAACAGTATTTTTGCACAGCTGAAACCGAACAAAATTTTCTGGAGTATGATAAGCTACCAAAAATGAAGCATTCTTGCAAATTCGACGAAATTTTATTCGGTATTAACAAAGTACTGGTCAGGAAAAGAACACGATATTCTCATGCATATTTATAAAGGATTGACGTTTATCCTGGATCTGCGCATGTGCGCGGGAAAAGCATCGCGAGAATCATCAGGTGGAGGAAAATATATTTTGTGACGTCTGTTCAGTGAGGGACACAAATAGACCAATCAGCTCAATGAGTTGCATTTAATGTATTTATGGGTTACTACATAAAATACTACATGTGTTTTTCAAAAAGGCTAGTTTTTTAAATCGCTCTCAGAAAGACTTGATGCATTATGTACATTATTATCTACTAATCCCATGCTCATA